AAAAAAAAACCAAAACAACAAAAAAAAAAAAACCAAAAAAAACCAAACAAAAAAAAGGCAAAAAAACCCCAAACAAACAAACAAAATCATACCTATGTCATCCCAGACACAGGAAAACACTTTCAGTGGACAACCCAATATACATTTTACCTTTTTCTGTCACATCTTTTTCAAGGCATCTCTCTGTAGAGACAATTCTCCACAAAGAAAGTATATTTTTACAGGCTTAGTACATCTTAATAGTTTCAAATGGATCACAAAAAGATTAAAAACTTATTTAGGGGTCCAATTCTATGAAATCTCACAGAATCACATGATATGCTGAGTTGGAAAGGGCACACAAGGACCATCGAGTCCAACCCTTAACCCTGCACAGGATAATCCCCAAGAGTCACACCACATGTCCAAGAGTATCATTCAAACACTTCTGGAACTCTGTCAGGCTTGGTATTGTGACCACTTCCCTGCAGAGCCTATTCTAGCATCCAACCACCCTCTGGCTGAAGAACTTTTTTCTAATATCCAACCTAAACCTCCCCTGACACAACTTCAGGCCATTCCCTCAGGTCACTGGTTAACACAGAGAAGAGATCAGTGCCTCCCCTTTTCTTCCCCTCACATAACACAGAGAAGAGATCAGTGCCTCCCCTTTTCTTCCCCTCACAAGGAAGTTGTAGACTGCAATGAGGTCCCCCCTCAGTCTCCTCTTCTCCAGGCTGAATACATCAAGTAATCTCAGCCACTCCTCATAAGGCTTCCCCTCAAGGCGCTTCACCATCTTCGCAGCCCTCCTTTTGACACTCTCTAATAACTTAACATCTTTCTTATATTGTGGTGCCCAAAACTGCCACAATGTTCAAGGTGAGGCCCCACCAGTGCAGAGCAGAGCAGGACAATCCCCTCCCTTGCACAGCTGGGGATGCTTGGCCTGATTCTTCCCAGAACCTGGTTGGCCCTCCTGGCTGCCAGGGCACTGCTGACTCATATTCAACTTGCTGTTGACCAGGACCCCCAGATCCCTTTCCATGACACTGTTTTCCAGCATCTCATTCTTCAGCCTATACCAAAGCCAGGGATGCCCCATCCCAGGTGCAGAATCCATCATTTCCTCTTGTTGAACTTCGTATGATTAGAGATTGCCCATCTCTCTAATTTGTCAAGGTCTCTCTGCAGGACCTCCCAGCCTTTCAGAGAGTCAGTAGCTCCTCCCGGTTTGGCATTGTCTGCCAACGTGCTTAGTATCCTTTCCAATCCTGTGTCCCAGTCATTTATGAAGACGTTGAAGAGCACAGGACCAAAGATAGAGCCCTACAGAACCCCACTAGTGACAGGTCATTGATGTTATTTCAGTCGCTATTAGTCTCTGTGCTTGAGCCAATTGCTCACCTACCACATGATGTGTTTATCCAGCTGTCTGCTGGACATTTTGTCTAGAAGGATGCTGCGAGAGACAGTGTCAAAAGCTTTACTGAAATCCAAAAGGATTACATCAACTGGCTTCACTTGAGCAACTAGATGGGTTAACTTTCATAAGACCAAATCAGGTTTGACAAACAGGATTTTCCTCTCATGAAGCCATGCTGGCTGTTACCAGGGACTGCATTGTCTTTCGTATGTTTTTCAATACCTCCCAAAATAATCTTCTCCGTAACTTTACCAGGCATTGAAGTGAGACTGACAGGCCTGTGGTTTCCGAGATCCTCCTTCTTGGTCTACTTGAAAATAGGAACAATGTTCACCAGCTTCC